AAACTTTTAACTCGTTTTATTTTTTTCTGATTTTACGATACTTTTGTTTTAATTTTCATTTCTTGCCAATCCAAGTGAATGTGACAGGCGAAATTTTCGTATTTTTTCTTAGATTTTAATTTTGATTTATTTTGGTTGGTTCCTTTGGTTTATTTTTATTAGCTAGCAGTGAAAGGCAGTCTTCCTGCCCACCACTTCCATTCACTCGAGGACTGGATTGTCCTCAGTCTCAAGAGCGTGAGGGAATTTCTTTGACGCTACAAGATTAGGAGATTTTATTCTTCCTCTGAGGAAATTTCAGTCCCCTCGGTAAGATGAGGCCTTTTACCCATACTATTTAAAGTATGAATGGGAAAATAAAAGTCCTTCACCAACAGCGTCCTTTCACACAAACTTGATAATTCTTCATGACGGACCGAAACGTTAAAAGATCTTCATCAGATCAGTTTATTTCTGAATTGGTTATGATGCTCCGACTTCTATTCTTCAACTGTCTCACTACTACTACGTACTTAAGGATAATACTGCAAATCTTTGTCTCACTGGCTGAAGGAGTATTAAAGGAGCTAAGGTTATGTGTATTTCCTTTCTCTCCCTCTCTCCGGATGTGTTAAGCAGGAATAATGAAAGCCATAATGCCGTAACTGGAACATTTCGCGCGCACAACCGACACTTACTAATCTTCAGACGAAGTTTCCATCCCGACTTGATAATGGCCCAGGACGGACCGAAACGTCGTCTTAAGTTTCCTCTTCAGGTGTGAGCTCTTCGTGAATTGTGGAATGTAGCTATGATCATTTCCTCGTTAAAAGGAACTAAGGATACAGTCCTCCTCACTTCCAAGAAGTGTGTTAAGGGGCGGTGATTCCTCTTTCAGATAAACGGAGATTTGTTTTTTTATTCCATTCTCGGCAGTGTAGTCTTGGTGAATTATACCAAAACATTCGTTTTGGTAGATTTTGTCTCAGTACTTGATGAATTTTTGTTCAGTTTTGATGAACTTTTGTTCGGTACTTGAACTTTTGTTCAGTTTTGATGAATTTTTGTTCGGTACTTGAATTTTTGTTCAGTTTTGATGAATTTTTGTTCGGTACTTGAATTTTTGTTCAGTTTTGATGAATTTTTGTTCAGTTTTGGTGAACTTTTGTTCGGTACTTGAATTTTTGTTCAGTTTTAATGAATTTTTGTCCAGTTTTGATGAATTTTGTTTAATGGACCCTGATTTTTGCTTAATGCTAGAAGTTTTTTTTAATTTTAGTGAATATTTAGAGACATTATTAGCATCTACACAGAAGGAATTATCCTTCTTGCAGAGATGAAGTCCCGTTCCTAACTTTATTTTTCCTTCGGAGTAAATTTATTGAGTTTTTTTTACAAAATTTTCTCAAAATTAAGCTGGTTTAAATATTGATGTATATTTAAAAAAAAAAAAGTAATTTCAACGATATATTCTTTGGAAAATATATTTTTTTCCTTCTTTGCTCCTATTGGTTCATACATTGTTAGTGTTCGCATGCAGTTAACGTAAAAATTAAGTTGGTATACAATTTTTCACCTTATAGGGATAAAAAAGAGAAAGATGATAGATGCTCTGTCATGCAAAAAGTTATTTTTCCCCCCTCTCTTTTCTCTCGTGCTGGAGAAAAATGAGTGGCGGGGAGGGTGTGTAAAAGTCACTGGTAGGAAAATAACGTCAATTACGTTTATTTTTGGTATGGAGGGGAAAATCTTCCACCATACAGGAAAACTGTTTTCCGACAGGAAGTTTAACAGTCGAGTGTGTGTGTGTGTGTATGTGTGTGTGTGTGTGTGTTGTAATAGGCACTTGTCAATGAACACTTAGCCTGTGTGTGCTGTATGGCATATTTTCATGTTTTGACTTTTTATTTTATTTTTCGACAGAGGCCGAAGCAGTGGTGAACGGGCCGAGTGAGGTTCATATTGAGGAAGGCTCAAAGCTGGCACTGGAGTGCCAGGTGAAGCACGCTGTCGCCCCCCCAGTTTACATCTTTTGGTACCACAACTCAACCATGGTTAACTACGGCCAACACGCACTTGAAGTAAGCTTTTTCAGTTATTTTTCCACTTGGAATGTGTTATGTTGATTCTCTCTCTCTCTCTCTCTCTCTCTCTCTCTCTCTCTCTCTCTCTCTCTCTCTCTCTCCCTCCCTCTAACACACTTTATAAAGACAAAATTTACTAATATCAGGTAAATTTAATATCACTAATAGCGGTAATAATAAGTAGCATCAAACACACTATAACATGTCGATCACACCGTAACACCTGTCACTCACACCGTAGCACCTGTCACTCACAGAACCTGTTCTCCATAAGGGATGTCGCTAACACTCCGCGGTCTCTCCTCCCTGGCAGGTGCATCACCAAAACTTCACCAGCAGTCTGGTGGTGACACGTGTTCGTCCCTCTGACGCGGGTACCTACTCCTGTCAGCCCCACTTGGCTACCCCTGCCAACGTTACTGTACACGTCGTCACAGGTCAGTTCTTATTGGAATTTATTATTTTTATTGTATTATTATATATATATAATTATTATTAAGGGATTTTCTCCCAGTTTATTAGTGTTTATTAGTATTAATAGGGATTTTCCCACAAACTTAGTACATCGTTCCATCTTAGTGACTTGTAGCATTAGCGTTCTCCATGAATGATTGCAAGCAGTTACTGTAAACGATTTGATGTAATGATTTATTTCTTCTATTCACTTCTTTCAGTTTCTCGTTTTCTGAGTATATTGTACATCATGATCATATCCTGAGTTTCATCTCCAGATTTGTAAGGATGTGTCAGTAATTTGTCTTGGCCATTCAGTACTCCTGGAGTAGTTTGATTTTTTTGTAGTTTCTGCGTGTGTGTATTGGGGTGAAGGCTCCACGCTGGTGTTGCTTACTCTGTTGGTACGCCAGAGGTTATACACAGGGTCCTGAAGGGGTTCTAAACGTCAGCTAAAGGTCAGACAAGAACAAGTCCATCCCCATCAAGTCCATCCTATTGAACGTTAAATAGAACGAGAGAGGAAAGAAACCGCTCGTTGAGAAGTGGAATATTAAAGAGAACGAGAGAGGAAAGAAAATATTGAAAATAATAAATATGAGGATAACAGTTACGAAAGACTGTGTTGAGGTGCCTGGATGTCGTTCTTAAACGTACGTAGCTTGCAGCTCTTCGTATTGATGGCGTTAAAATTTGCATATAATATTTGCATATCCTTGTATAGTTTTTTTATGTGGTTCTCAAGTCTCTCTTGTCAGACAACGAAGGCATATCAGTTTTTTTTTTTTTTTTTTTAACTTTGGGAGGTATTTTGTAGGATGTATAGAATTTTTGTTTATTTTTTCTATGCACATCACACTACTGTCACATTCCTCTCATGATATAATATACTTCAGCCATTCCATACAGATTTAGCACTTCCCCTTCAACATATGTCATATTCCATTTTCGATTTAATGAAACTGCGCGTGCGTGTGTGGCAGGAAAGGAGACCCGCCTTCAGCTCAAAGAATATTGGAGGCTCGATCTTCTGTCAGGTAATCGAGACGCTCGCTATTCTTGCAACCAGACTTGTTAAACAGGTTCTTAATTATAGGGGCTAACAAGGCCACCTCGAGCTGATTATATCCGCATGTGTCAGTATGGTTTTAAAAGTGGGTTTCTCTCTTTACATTAATGCACTTTAAACAATGTGTGTACTCATTTGTGGTTGTAGGGGTCGATCATAGCTCTTGGTCCCGCCTCTTCGTTGGCCGCTACTTGGTCCACTCTGTCCTTCCTCCTAGAGCTTTATCGTACTACTTCTTAAAGCTATGTATGGATCCTGTGTGTGTGTGTGTGTACTCTAATTGCACTCGCCTAATTGTGGTGGCAGGGGTCGATTCATAGCTCCTGGCCCCGCCTCTTCACTGGTCGCTACTAGGTCCACTCTCCCCCTGCTCCATGAGCTTCATCATACCTCTTCTTAAAGCCATGTATGGATCCTGCGTCCACTACATCACTCTCCAGACTATTCCACTGTGTGTGGTGGTGGTCCAGGGGGGGGGGAGTAGGCAGGTATATTTTTCTGTGCACTTAGTACTGCATATGGAATATATTTATACATTTTTTTCATTTCATTCAAAACGTGAGATAAAACGTGTTAAATGCTAATCCATAAATTTATCTGCATGTTTGTATATATATCTCCATATTGAAATGTATAAACGCAAATTCATTTAACTTCGCGTTTATTTGCTCAGCTAAAAGTGTGTCACAACGCTTAACACTCCCCGATATTTGCTCGTCAGTGACATAAAATCTAAGGTGAAAATACAATAAATATTAAAAAAAAAAAAACGCATGCATGGCCGGCCTGATGAGTCTCAGACTGAAACCAAACATTCGTTTTATATGTATATCTTAAACATTTCTGGTTTAACTTTTCCCGGGTGTTTTGAAACACGGGAAAACACACAAGTATCCGTCATTGACAACTCGGCTATTTGAATTGCCTTCATTATATTCATGGATTATTGTTTCCAGTCTACCTCGCAATTTTAGGTAAATATTTGTCTTTTCATATTTTAAAATGATTGCAAGCAATTACTGAAAAATTTGTTGTAGTGTTTTATTTTTAATATTGCAAGTTGCACCTTTATATCTTCCATTATGCGAGTTATGAATATTTGGATATAATTTTTTTTTATTACGAAGATAGTTTAAGTAGGTAAACATACATTAGTTATTTTTTTCTGAAAAATACTCAAATGATGTCTTGTATCTCATCTGATCGGTTACCTAAAGTTGCAAGGCTGCACAGGACTTGCAACACAAGCAAACACCCGGACTGCAACAAACAGCTCAACGTTGACAGTGTTGGATACACACACAAAAAAATCCACTCATGTACGAGATGTTTTAGAGATACAACACTGTGTTATTTTCAAAATTGTAGAACATTGGGAAAGGATGCTATAGGAGGTAACAGGAGCTACATCTCGAGCAAAGTAAAAATGTTTACGGAAAAAGATATCAGAGATGCAGCATCACTTTCAAAACTTTGCAGAAAGTAGTCACAAACATGGGAAAAATGCCACAAGGAATGAATGCCACATCAAACATTTAGTAAAACTGGTTAGCGAGAGACCACTTTCAGAAAACTAAACAAGAATCTATTAACAGTGAATGTCAGGCCAGTCATTGAATATGTAGCATCAGCCTGGATCCATCAGTTGATAATGTATGTACTTGACTGGTTCAGAGGTTCGCCACAAGGCTGGATCCGGAATGAAGGATAATTAGCCACGATGAAAGACTAAAGGTAAATTTAACCTTTTTCAAGCGCAAGTTTTGGAAGAGAGATTCTCAGTACGTAAAAAAAAAAATACTCATAGGAACTAAAACAGTGTGGCATAGAAGGAAGTGAAATAAGAGCCAGTGACATAATATGTAATATTTATTCAATGATTGGCCACTTGGGGGTTATGAATCGCTAAAGCAGGAAGTGTGGCGTTTAGGAGACGGAGTCAGGAGCCGAGACTCGACCTCCCCCATGTATAGATAGAGGATTATAACTTTCTGGACCGACACGCGCGCACACAAATCGTAATCTGAGACTCGTAAATTAGCCTCGCTTATCATAATATAAAACTCGGTTATCACTGTATACAACTTCAGTTGTCACTATATAATTAACCTAAATTATCGCTGTAATTAAACTCTATTACTGTAACCTCTCACTGCAGTTAACATCAGCTATCAATTTAGCCTTATTTATCACTGTAACATCGGTTTTGCTGTAATTAATTTTGGTTATCACTGTAATGAGCCTCGTTTATCACTGACTATGGTTTTTTCCCCTAATTAGTCTGTTATTTCTAATGAACTTCAGTTATAACTAACCTGATTTATCAATGTAATTAACCTGATTTATCCATGTAATTAACCTCAGTTATTACTGTAACCTCAATTAACAATGTAATTAACCTTAGTTATCACTGTAATTAACATCAATTATCACTATTCGTAACAAAGTATTAAGTCTAGCAAACAAACTGATAAACAAAATACTCGATTAATTCAAAATAATAATTACGGGTAAATATTTGTATTAGCTATACAAGCTGAAACTGACCCATGGCTTCAGTAATGATAGTTGTATTACCTTTAAATATGATGCATCAAATGTTGAATTGTTATTCATTGTAAAATGTTAATAGTTGTATTGTTATTCAATGTTAATAGTTGTATTGATATTCAACATAAAACATTAATAGTTGTATTGATATTCAACATAAGACATTAATAGTTGTATTGATATTCAACATAAGACATTAATAGTTGTATTGATATTCAACATAAAACATTAATAGTTGTATTGATATTCAACATAAGACATTAATAGTTGTATTGATATTCAACATAAAACATTAATAGTTGTATTGATATTCAACATAAGACATTAATAGTTGTATTGATATTCAACATAAAACATTAATAGTTGTATTGATATTCAACATAAAACATTAATAGTTGTATTGATATTCAACATAAAACATTAATAGTTGTATTGATATTCAACATAAAACATTAATAGTTGTATTGATATTCAACATAAGACATTAATAGTTGTATTGATATTCAACATAAAACATTAATAGTTGTATTGATATTCAACATAAAACATTAATAGTTGTATTGATATTCAACATAAAACATTAATAGTTGTATTGATATTCAACATAAAACATTAATAGTTGTATTGATATTCATCATAAAACATTAATAGTTGTATTGATATTCAACATAAGATATTAATACAGTTTTGTGTATGATAATTAGTACAGTGGTGAAATAAAACATTTATTTGGAAAATTAATGCTTATTTGAAAAATACACGGCAATGATATGACAGATAATTGATTTAATAGGTGATATGACAACCCTTTGCTTTTATAAACACTTGACAAGCTGTTCGTCGTGGTACCAGGTCCTAATAACAGCAGCAGTTAGCTTCTCCACGATCCTGCGTTTGGTTATTGCCAGTCGATTCTCAGTTGGGTTGAGGTCAGAAGAGTTTCCAGGCCAGTTTAGAACGCTTAGCCCAATCTCTTCGAGAAATGTCAGCATTTTTCTGGAAGTGTGGCATGGATCAAGATCCTGCTGGAAAATGCCTTCTCCCTCAGGAAAATCTCTGTGTGCAGTGGGAAGCAAATGAATTATCAGGATTGCCTTGTATTTGTCATTGTTCTTCGTTCCCTTAATAACAAGCCATCCAGAGCCTTTAGAAGTAAAACTACCCCAAAACATCTCAGATGGGTGTTTTGGCGCTTGTCAAATGTATCCATTCCGTCTCGCTACCCCTGTACTTCAAACTGCGCCTCATTTTAAAATATAACTTTTCTCCATTCGTCTGTCGTCCATCTCGTATGATCGAGTACCCTCCGCAGCAGTCAATGATTCTTTGCCGGCTTTCTGGCAGTTCTGCCAACTTCAAGGAGCC